TCTCAGGCCCTACCCCTTCCATTCCTCCTTCTCTCACACACAGATGCCTGTGTCCATCCACATAAACATGGGTTTGTTCTGTGTCATGGAGTAAATCAGCACAACAAGGCAGTGGTCAGAAAATGGAGCTCTGAAAAGGGATATGTGCGTGCCTGCAAGGCAAACAGACAAGTTCCACAAACAAAGCGCAGATGGGATTTGAGGGATTCCTACCCCTTCCATTCCTCCTTCTCTCACACACAGATGCCTGTGTCCATCCACATAAACATGGGTTTGTTCTGTGTCATGGAGTAAATCAGCACAACAAGGCAGTGGTCAGAAAATGGAGCTCTGAAAAGGGATATGTGCGTGCCTGCAAGGCAAACAGACAAGTTCCACAAACAAAGCGCAGATGGGATTTGAGGGATTATGGGCCATTTCTGGAAGCCAGTCAAGATGCAACAAACAATTCAAGTGTCCACACAGTCCCCCCTAGTGCTTTGCCAGTGTAGATTTAGCCTGAAATGGCACTCTGGGATACTTCAGTTTCTTAATTGTTTCTATATCAAATCAGCACTATTTATTTACACCATCTTTTAATGGCTTCTTTTACCTTTAGCCCTATACAAGTTTTTAAAACTCCTGAATATCACAGGCCACTAGTTTTCATTCTCATGCTAAAATATTTTTGATTTTGATTCTTGAGAAACTAAATTGTGTGTCAGGCAGAAAACAGGAGAAATTAAGGTGCCACTACTGCCCAATGTCCCAGCAGTGGCAGAGAACAGATTAGGTAAAATGTGTCCAGACGAGCTCAGCAGCCAAATCATGCTCCATTCTGGAAGGAATGGATAGAATCCCCAAGGTCCCAGTCAATTTGACCTGGGGGAACATTCTTTCCCCATAGACAAATCTAGTAGTTAAGTATGACCCTGAACATGTGAGCTATCGCAAGAAAAATTAATTTAGGCTGCTTTCAGTTACAAGCTGTATACATGAAATATAAATAAAATAAAAGGAAATTCTTAGGCATAGTAGAGTTTATAAAGGTCTCATGCAACTGATAGTGGTTTTCCTGGAAAAGAAAAGGGGACAAGCATTTATCCATTCCTTGTTTGGCAGTCTCCACACATCTCTGGCAGCATGCAATTGCCCACTTTTCTCTCTCACACTGCATTAGCTATTTACCTTTAGCTATTTTGCCTGGAAAAGAGCTACTCTGCACCATTTCAGACCACTGGCCCACCCCATCCAATATCCTCTCTCTAGCTATGGCTGATCTTTTATGTTTCAGAGAGGAAAAAAATGCAGAATACATCTAGACAACTGTGATCTTGAAAAAAAAATCCTTCCTGACCTTTACAAGTGATCAGCTGAAGCCCTGAGGCATGAGATTTGATAAGTCATTATCTTAGTGCAGAGCTTCAAATGTTAGCAGTCCACTGAAAGCAATTCAGACAATCCCATTCTCACTATGATTCATAAAAAAGGGATAAACAGGGTGAACTTCTAACAGCTCTGCAAAGTCAAGTTGATGTCTGCTTATCTCATTAATCAACTTCAGATAGAGATTTTTAAGGCTAAAAATAATATGCTGTAGGGGGTATACTTCTAGAGGTAGAAGGCTGGTCTTATTAAGGCACTGACCTGGGAGTCATGAGAGCTAAGTTGTGTTGATGCTTCTTCTGCAAATACAGCACAAGTCACAATCTTTGTGCCTCAGTTTCTACATTTTTGAAAGGATCAAGAAGCTAAATTCATTTAGTGTTTGTAAAGAGCTCTGAGACCCTTTGAGACCCTTACATGAAAGGTGCTGCAGAACTATTATTTTAACCCTGTGGTGGCCAACCAGTTCTGAAGCAGTAGCAACTATGGTAG